CTTATGGCAATTGCATTTCGTTTGTTTCATAATACGACGTGAAAGTATCCACTTACATTGAGGAAAATACATTAAAATACATTAAAGTATTATATTGCACAAATATTTATATACAGTTTAGAGTAGATTAATAAATCAATAATTTGTCTCGCATGAACTTTATAAGTGAAATTACAGATTTGTTCAAGAATCGCATTGCCTTTATTCTAATGAAACCACTTATTACAGAATATGCAGATTTTCTCTACCTACTTAACAATCTTTACTTCAGTATATGCTAAGCAGTCCGTTTTAAATTGGCTGAACTGAAACTTCAGTAATTCATATTTCCGTTCATTATGCTAAGTCAAAGGAGTAAACAACCAATTCGATTCATAACCAACGGAGATGTCAAAAAGGTCTTCCTTATTTTTTAAAGATCTTGAACATGAAGTTGCATAGAAAATTATATTTGAGTATTTTTTTAATCTCGCCGAGTAAAAGAGATATCGAGGTGACCCTCTTATCTCGAACACACTGTATATGAAAAATCGTAAGTATAAAATAACTTAAAACAATATTTATGGAAAGTTAAAACGAAAACTGATGCGTTATCAATGACAAAAGTAAGTTACAACAAAAATTATATCCAAAGTACAAAACCCGACTAAAAACATATGGGGGTCTATTGACCCTAGTCGGGTACCATAGGTAAAAATTAAAAATTTTTCCATTTTTTCAATGGAACCTTTTCATCTACTTAATCTGGAGCCCACATATAACAACAAGTTAAAAAGTAATCGTAAACGATTTACATAAAGCGCATTTCCACTTGCATTCATTTCCCATTTGTAAGATGCAACTTCTGTTAAAATCGTAAAAATCCGCCACAAATATGAAAGATAGCGTTGCACATGGGCAATCCATTGTTGACGTGCTACTTCAATTTCAGTTTATGAGAAGAATTTCATTTCAATGCTTTTCTAAATAAGAAAGTTGGAACTGCGCATGCGCAAACCTAAATTTTAAAACTAATGTTAGATTTTCCTTTGTTCCAAGCGCCTAAGTATCAAATTTCACTTAAATGGTTCCATAGATAAAAAAGTTGGCACTGCGCATGCGCAAAATAAAATTTTGAAACTGGCGCTAGATTTTCCTTTATTCCAAGTGCCTATGTATCACATTTCATTTAAATTCTTCCATAAATAAAAAAGTTGGCACTGCGCATGCGCAAAGCCAAATTTTGAAACTGGCGTTTGATTTTCCTTTATCCCAAGTGCCTATGTATCAAATTTCGTTTAAATTCTTCCATAAATAAAAAAGTTGGCACTGCGCATGCGCAAAACCAAATTTTGAAATTGACGTTTGATTTTCCTTTATTCCAAGTGCCTATGTATCAAATTTCATTCAAATACTTTTATAAGTAAAAAAGTTTGCAATTCGGTTTATAAATGGTCGAGATGCGAAAAGGGCCCTGTGAATTTTGAATCGATTCGATTCAACTTTTGGCATTGCGTATTATATGGCTAAAGCTATGCCCATATTGAATTTCATGCAATTCAGTTCATAACTAACGGAGATGTAAAAGCGATCGAACATTTCTAAACAAAGTTATCGTTCACACGGACAGATAGATGGACAGACAGACAAAGGAACAGACGGACAGACCAACCGGCAGGCGACAGATAGCAATGCAAAATTATAAACGATCTCTAGGATCGTTAATAAACGGCAAAAGTGTAAAATTATGGAACATGTAAAAAACGGTTTTTTGTTTTTTTTACAATAACTTTTTTTGTAAGCGGTACAGAAAAAATTCCTTCCTTGGTACAAGACTCGACACCATAACGAACCAAATAGCGAAAAAAGTAGAACAATAGCTCTTAAGATAAAGAACTAGTAGCGTCGCAAAGTTAGCGGACGGACGGACGGACGGACAAAGTGACCACAATAGCGCATTTTTTTATTTTTGTGGAAATGCGCTAAAAAGTTTGCAATTCGGCTTATAAATGGTCGAGATGCGAAAAGGGCACTGTGAATGTTGATCGATTAGGCTCAATTTTTGGAATTGCATTCTATATGGCTAAAGCTACCTATACGCATATTGAGTTTCATGCAATTCGCGGTTCATAACTCACGGAGATGTCAAAACGGCCTTCCTTATTTTTTGGGCTACATTGCCAATTCACGAACTCCGATCTACAAATTTGATAAAGAATCCATCTACTAAATCGTAATCGGTCCATTCGTTATCGAGATATAGTGCTAACGGACGAACAGACGGACAGACACCGCAAAATTATAAACTCGCTACGAGCTCGTTAATAAATGTTCGAATAAGTCAAAAGTCACCATTAACTGCAGGAGAGTAAACAAGTCGATCATAATAGTTATTTATGTATTAAGGGCATAATATTGATGATTATATTCTCGAGGGCGACAAGTTAAAAATCTCGAGGGCCTACGGCCCGAGAGCTTTTCAGTCGCCCGAGAGTATAAACATCAGCTTATGCCCGTGGTACATACAAAATTTTATGTTTTACAAATAGTTTTCTTCGTCAAAGTAAATATTCGTTTACAAAATAATTCATTATGTTTGATTAAGTAAGCGTGGTTCGAATTTGTTAATGGGGATCGAAACCATCCAAACGTCAAACGTAATTTTAAATAATTCAATTCATCGTGAATGAGCGAGAAGTTCCAGAAACTATACGAAATAAGGCCAATCTTGTGATTTAGTAGGTATTGACAATTAATAATTGACGTTTCTAATTTTCAATGACCTGCAAATATTTGTTAGTTTTGTCAGTATAAATGAGTTACTATGGTGATACTTAATGCCCTAGGGCATAAAGTGGTACTTTATGCCCGCGTATCACAGATATAAAATGTGCTATGATAGGTTAGTAAAATCCAATTCGAACGGCTGCTAATTGATCACTGGATATCTTTTTGTTTTAGAAAATTCCATGGCATCGCAGATTATTGAAAAAGATGCGGGTTTTATTTTTCCAATTTTCCGTCTTTATATTGTAATGGAACCGAATTAGCCCACTAAAATTCTATTTAAATATTCCCGAATCCGAGCCTGGCGCGACGAAAAAGGTCAAGACTGCGCTTTGTTTCGTTTTCGTGTATTTTATCTTCTCTGCTCTACATTGAAATGGGCCATAATTTACAATAAAAGTGTCAAATATTACGCTATGCGAGAAAACTTAATGATCCGTATCGACCCGTCTCGAGGCACGTTCGATATTAACATTTGTTTTCGTCTAGGATTTGCCTACAAAGGGGAATTTTAGGCAGAAGTATGTGTGCTTTTGTTGAGACCAGAAGTAAATCTTTACGTTGCGAATAGTGAGTGCAGCTTTGACAATTATAAAGGTGATGTACTCGTTTTATTTATCTCTACGTCTATTGCATCCCCCTAATAACGATATGATCGTGTCCAATTATTTGCCAATTTAACTTTATTCTCGTACAGCATTGATTATTGCCATTACATTCCAGATACAAATTGCAGTTTTAATTATACTGGGCCTACTGGGTAATTACTGACCGATTTACGTATTTTTGTTTATATTTAGATGCTGTATGTTCCCTTAGGGGCTATATCCAATACAAGTATGCAGAACTACATTTTAATTTATAATTGGATTTATTGCAGCACATTTCGCTTTTGTTTACCTGATTATGTTACTGTGTATTTACAGGGTGCCTCATCTGGGGGCGAGTGACGTATGTTAGGTGGTTGATTGTTACATATTGCACTTGGCATTGTGAATTAATTACTTGATACCAATGTTTACCACGACATGTTCCTTTGTATTGTTGTAATGTGATAGTACATAAAATTATGCTCCTACTATTTATTTGAACCGGGTGATTATGATTATTAATATTTGGCAGGGTGACTTGTTTCGAATATGTACTGTGCTATATTTGATACCGATATATAATCTCGATTTGACGTAGCAGAGGCTGGCTAAAGTTCAGAACTGACATACGCAGAGATATATATTTTATGTACTGTTTTTTTTGTTGTGTCTCTTTGAAAAGAGCCATCTTGCCGATATTGCTAATCAATTCGTTTAGTCGATCCCTGTCATGTAGTGACCGAATATTGGTTTTGTGTCAGTTTTTGTTATGCCAGTGCAAATATGTTAACTGTCAACGCCTACATGAATTGTGTATATTTTGTTTATAATTATGTATGGGTGCGAGTTTGCCGTTGGTTACTCTGTTATTTATATTATGTCATGACTTGTCTTTTGATCGGTTATTGTCAGTACTCATGGTAGAGAGCCTGGAGTTCGGTAATTTATAACCCGGCATTTTAAGACTAGTGGGTTGGACTGGCCCTAGAGATGTATGAATGAAAGGTTGGGGTCCCGCTAGTCGTACATGGGGCTGCCGGCTAAGCCCGGCCTCACTTGCGCAGGGATTCGCTAAAAGCGTGTGGCGTGTTCTCGTTGTGACCTTATGGTTGTGTTAAACAACTATATCTTTCCTATGGATTTGGACTGGCCATCCAATATCCAAACCTATTACCTATATGAATATATTGTAATGTTTTAATAATTGTTTTTGTTATGTGTGTGTAATATTTATTCTTTAGGAATTCCAGTGGAGCCTGGGATTCGACATTGTATTGCTGTACTTGACAACATCCCACATAACACAAGATAGCTTATGGATATCCATATTATGTGGAAAATATCCATATGATATCCAATCCATTTATTATCTATTTATTATTATTTATTATCTAGTGGATATCACATAGATATTTATGAAAGTCGATATCTATGGACATAGGTCTAAGAAATCTTTAATACGATGAGCAAATCATTATAAATTAAGATTTTCGGATACCTAATGTTAGTAAATGAGAGTTTTTTTCAGTTATATGTAAAATGGCGGAATCGCTAGAAGATAACATTGTGGATATTCTTTGGATATCTGATGGTATTTCAATGTTCTTTATAAAAACGTTGGCAACAGTGCTATGTGTTTTAAAGTAATGTTGGTGACCCTGAAAACCTGACAACTGACATCAAATTTTCATAATCTGAGGATTGTACTTAATTTTGGTAATAATCTTATGTAAACCGGCGGCGTTTGTTCTTTTTGTGTCTTTGGTGCCGGAAAATTATAAGGTGAGTAAAGATTTTGTTAATTTTTCCTTGGGAGGACAGTTTTGTAAATGTTTGCATGTTATTTCCTACTTGCTACTAATTAATTACAGCTTCATATGAGAAAGCTAGGGAAAAACTCATATTAGCTGAAGTTACATCTGATTTAAAGACAGATGGTGAACGTGATTCTAAGCAATACCGAAAAGTATCAAAGAAAAAACGTTTGTCGACCTCAAATGAAGAAGGTAGCGAGAGTGACAGACAGTCGTATCCCTCACCATCAAAAAAAAAAGTTGATTAAAGGTAAATTACGTTATGTAAATGTGTGACAATAAATATAGTTTAAATATTGTTTAAAGATTACGCACACAAAGATGTTCAGAAGTTACTCCTGCAAAAAAAATATCTCAGATTGGTATGTGTTTTCTGAATTCTGTGACAATAACTTGATTAATTATTTATCTTTTTAGAAGCACATCGTTCACAAACTGAATCAGTACCTGTTCCATATGAAGGTATGTTTGTTGTTTTGTAATGAAGTCTGCCTTTCGACTCTTATTAGTGACATTTAATTATTTATCCATTAAGGCGAGCATTAAGCATACATTTTCAATAGAAAAAGTTATCTTTAGTTATACTTACCTTATGAAAAGTTGTGAAAACCAGACCTTGTTTCACTAAATACCATGGTTTTTTGTAATTTATTGTTATGGTTATAGAAGCAAGTGGTTCACAAATTGTTTCACCATCACCTCATTTATATCAAGGTATGTTTATTCTAATAATAGCATCTACTTCTTTTAATTGTTGTGGTTTTAGAAGCAAGTTATTCACAATCGGTACCATCGCTTTCATATGAAGGTATGTTTGGTATTTTCTATTTATTGTAGTACTTGTGACTCATTTATGTATCTACAGATTTTCAAAAACGAATATTCAAAGAAATACAGTCCATAAAAGTTGGATTTACCAAATTAGCACAAACTATTGAACTATTGTGTTTTAACTTTTTTGCAAGCCTGCTCTCAATTCAGTTCTAAATCATTTATTTTACAGAATTCATCAAGAAAATATGGAGGAAGAAGAGGAAGGTGCCGAAAATAGATGATTTTTGTGTCCATTGTTGATATATAATAAATCACAAAAAGGATTTCTTATAGTTTTATTACGTAGCTACATATCTACCCTTCATTGTTTTACTTGCCTTTAGATGTCTAATGGATATTATTTTGATATCAATTTTATTAATATCACTGCAATTTCATGTCTAATGGATATTATATATCATATCTATGGGATATCCATATAAGATATGGATATTATGCGGACATCTGGATATCCATTACATATCCATACAATTTCTACAGCTATCCATTAGATATTGTGGATATCCAGAAATGCTATCCATTATATATCTAGTGGATGGTTTTGTGTTATGTGGGATGCATTCATGCCATTACAGATAACTAATTTTGCTACAAAGTTCAATATTAATTTGTTGGCTGGGTTTTTTCTTGGCCAGTTCTTTTTTCCTAGCCTATTTTTTAACGCATTTCCACAAAAATAAAAATAAAATGCGCTATTGTGGCCACTTTGTCCGTCCGTCCGCTAACTTTGCGACGCTACTAGTTCTTTATCTTAAGAGCTATTGTTCTACTTTTTTCGCTATTTGGTTCGTTATGGTGTCGAGTCTTGTACCAAGGAAGGAATTTTTTCTGTACCGCTTACAAAAAAAGTTATTGTAAAAAAAACAAAAAACCGTTTTTTACATGTTCCATAATTTTACACTTTTGCCGTTTATTAACGATCCTAGAGATCGTTTATAATTTTGCATTGCTATCTGTCGCCTGCCGGTTGGTCTCTCCGTCTGTTCCTTTGTCTGTCTGTCCATCTATCTGTCCGTGTGAACGATAACTTTGTTTAGAAATGTTCGATCGCTTTTACATTTCCGTTAGTTATGAACTGAATTGCATGAAATTCAATATGGGCATAGATTTAGCCATAATCGAGATTTATACCTACATCTCAAGAGCTTTAATAGATTAGATAAATTTTAAAATAGTTAGAGATTATCTGTTCATCTTATAATTATAGCGAAGACCAACACTGGTTGGCCCGTATTCTACTAATTGATTACCGTATGATTTCTTTTTTCCCCAAATCGTCATGAAACCTTAATTTGCATGCCTACTTTATGTCAGACAATTTTAGTTTCCATGACAGTGGGCGGTAACACTTTAGTCTTTAAGCTGGTATTATAGAATGTTGTCAGCTAACGCCGGTGTTGTTAAAAGGCATGTGAATTTGCCATTTTCGAATCGCATCTAGAACCTTTTCAACTCTTAAGACGATTTATTTCAAAATTTCAACCAAATCGGTTGGGTAGTTTCTTTCTGAACCTTGTTTACAAGAATCATGCCGCACGCTCATACACCCAACCCATCCATACCCACAGACATTTTTTAAAAACCACATTTTTGGAATCCTGGGACCTTTGGAACGTAAAGATGCGGTGAAAGCTCAAAATCGAAACTTGTATTGATTTCCACAATCTTCTAATTTTTGAAAAGCTGAAGGAGTTACTGAAGGACTCGGGCCATTCGTTTCTCAAGTTTCTGTTTCAGAATTTAAAAAATGCTTTACAAATAGGATTGCGCGAGCAGTGACAGTAAAGGCGTGTAGGTACATTTTCATCCTTATATTCCATTTACAATTAAAATTCAAAATGCAAAACATAAAAAAATTGCATACATACATAGGTACATACGGCGACTGGTAAACTTGTTTACCTACTATCTCTCTTATCTATTGCCAAGAAAAAAGCCATCTCCATTTTAGATACTTATTGCGAATTTGAATCTATAATCTCCCTATTCATATCTCAAGTGATTTATTGTCGTTTTCTATCACATCGTCGTAAACAACTTTATGTAACAAACAATGAAAACTCTGACTAAATCCACGCAAAGCACTATGTATATTACAAGTAACCGATTTAGTTCTGGTGAAAACCATGGTAATTCGAGATTTGTCTAAAGCATTTGCGCGATTAATCATCTGCAGCTTTTAAGACCAATCTTTGTTCATTGCGACATGATTGGCAGATTGTTACCACTAGCACTCATGGTGTACCATATGGATCCATCTTAGGACCTCTCTTACATAGGTATATTCTACTAAAATTATGACAGTAAGGATTCAATTTAATGTACCTCTAGCTTTTTATTTAATTCGATTTTTTTTCAAACTTATTACAGCCGACATGTTTTTGTAATTTCAACGATGAGCTTGTACCGTTCTGTTTTTGCATTGAATAATTCTCTTATATTTTGAGCTAACTGTCGGCTTCCCGCAGCAGACTAAATGTCGGTCTGTCAAGGACTTCCGGCTATTTGCCTGCCGACAGACCGAGTTATTTGTGCAGTTGACGTCAAGAGCTTTAATTTGATACCCTATATGACCTGCTTTTCTTTAGGTAATGATTTCTTATCAAATATACCCCTTGGTGCCGGTCTGACAAGGGTGTCCCGCCGCGCAAGGGGCGTCAGACCTTAACATGATTGTAGCGGAAGGCGTTAGCTACAAGGTCATGACCTCAGAAACCTGCTAGATCAAAAGTAAAGAATTCTCAAATATCAAGCTTGTTTATCTTCCGGCTAAATGCGGTCCGACAGACCAAGCGTTTCGTGTATGGTCACCTCAAATACTTGTTCATGTATACGTTTTATGTTGCTATTTTAATGGTAATGGTTTGCGTCGCGGGCTCTTAGACTATGTTTTCTTATACCTACCTATTACTATAAGGAACATTTTATCAAAATTTCTGATTAATGTATAAAAGGAGCTGGTCAAAGCATGGAAAGTTGAAGATTGAATAGCAGCCAGATTAGGAAGATCTCCTGTGTTCATACGGGGCACTGAATGGTTAACTATCACCTGCATAACAATGGGCTTGTGGAGGAGCCCATGTGCAGGTTCTGTGGCGAGATGAAACTACAGAGCATGTGGTTTGTCACTGTGATGCCTTGATCAAAAACAGAGATTACCTCCTTGCCAACAGCTATCTGGAACCAGGACGGGTGAAGCAACGTAGGCTAAAAGGGGTCTTAGAAAAGGCTCCCCTGTAAATAGAATAGACTCAAATAGGTATAGCGATATATAGGAACCCCAAAAAAGGTGTAAAGGCAGTAGATTATTAGACGCTTCTCAACTAAACACAATTTATTGTTAAAGTGACTAACTAACTAAAATAAAAATACGTATGTAAAAAATTCAGTTTTTATTTTATACACCATACTTAATTTTCTAAATCTAGCCTCCGCTTAACATACTCCTCAATGACCTCATCGGGTAAATCAACCTTATCTTGACAATGAAACAAGAGAATTTTCGCAACATTTTTCTTATTGGGAAACCCGTGCTTATTTAATTTGCTAAATAAATGTTCTATAATTCTAATGTTCTTTATTAATTTGAGGGATGGCTCCGCTAAGCCCCCGCACCGTTCGTTGTTCGTGCACTCCACAAAATCGTGGTCCCAGCCTCCATTGGCACTTGTCCCCAAATCGGGATACTGCATTTTAAATTTACCTGCCAGCCAACCAGACAGATGAATTAATCGATTTTCTTCACTTTGGTGTGCGAGTATCAAGTGATTGTTAGTGGATGGGGTTGGTGATCGTATCTTCTCTTGTGCTGTGATTTTGGCGCTTCCCTGTTGGGGTTCAGTAGAGGGCGCCAATTCGTTTTCCAATTTATCAGTGGTAGACGAATTCTGCTTAGTAGACATGGGGGGAGGGTCTTGCGTTTCCGGTAACTGAATTCCATTACTTGTTTTTGTATTATCACACTCTGCCAACCAGTTAGATATCTGCATTACTTCGTCCTCTTCTGTTCCACGCGTGGCAGATTTGGTAATTGATGGATTATTAGCAGGAGTTTCCTCACTTGATTCAGGTAATACACCATTACATCGGGGTTGCTCTTTGTTACATGGTGGTTCATTAGTTTTGTCGGATTGCTCTGATAACCTGGTTGTGTCCATTAATTCATCTTCGTCGTCTAACACGCCTTGATTAGCAGTGCAAGGTGTTAACGGAAGTTCTAAATCATCAATTTCATCGAATGATTCTTCTTGCGAGGTCACGCTCGTTTGCTGAAGCACGCTACTAGAAAGATACTCTTCAGCAGTGTCGTTCTGTAAACGATTTAAGCTCATCCGAACAAGACCTGGCGATCTGCCTGAAAAAAGATCTCGTATGTAACAATACCACAAATGATTATTCTATTATAAATGTTACATTCGTTTTCAAACCTAGGAAAATTTACACATGTACTGCTTCATAGCGAACATGAACGAAAATATGCCTGGAAATAATGGCGATAACAGCGTGAACAATATGAATCTCAATATTATTAAGTGTCATCTGGGTACAAAGCGGCGTCCCAAATTGTTTATGACCTGGAAGCCAAGTGACAATGACTACCAACTGCTACGTCAATAGTCATTTATTTACAAAATAATTACAATACTCCGCAAATTAGATGCGCAGTTTTTGAAAATTGGTAACTAACCTAACCTATACTGCATTCATTATAAGAAGGTAGTAGATGGCGCTGTGTTCGAAGATAAGCACACACAGGAAAAATATAAAATGGCACCAAATTATTGTAAAGTAGAAATAGACCGGGGGATAATGACAGATTTTCGGACGTGATTTCTTACAGTATGCCTCTTGGAGTATATTCAGGTGTGGATATTCTAACGTTAATAACACAACTATAAATGAATCACTCCGTGATCTTCATATATAAAAGTTAATTAATTAATTAAGTAATGAAGAACACGGAGTGATTCATTCATAGTTGTGTTACTAACGTTAGAATATCCACACCTGAATATACTCCAAGAGGCATACTGTAAGAAATCACGTCCGAAAATCTGTCATTATCCCCCGGTCTAAAATGATCAGCACTGCGAACAGAAATACATACAGTAAAACCATCGTAACCTTAGAAAATTTGCGCATGCATGTTCGGATTCGTCCGCACTTGATCGGGTTTCTTACCAGGTTCGGCTGTAATGTACATTCGGAACAGAAAACTACAACCAGAACAGAAGTAGTATTTGCACATTACTCACGGTATTAATGTCAATATAATTAAGAAAGTTATCGATTATTTATTACTAGTTAATAACACATTACTCAATTCTACAATAGTCGTTTAACTTAACATTAGACTGAGCAATAATCAATAGCGCACTGAGCCTAAAAACGAACTACTTCTTACTGGGAGTGTACAATCCCTTCCCATGCCTTCTATTAGCTGCACAAAGCATACTTTTTCTAAGGTTACAGTGGTTTTACTGTAATTCAAACGAGTTTGACAGTCTAGTTGCCAACAGAAACTACCAGCTTACAAAATTTAAAAAATTTGGCGATATACTGACTCCTGTTGTGCCCAATCACAGTAAAGATCAAAGCTTCCCTATGCTTTCTGAGTGGGGAAAGAATGATCAAGAGCTTACCGATTGAAAACTTACCTAGCATCACTATCTTTAATCTGTACATCACATGCATCGGAGAAGGATCGTACGCATTTACCCCTTCCCAGCTCCTTATCTCATCAAACAGCCTTTCCAACGAAAGTCGATTCAATTTTGAAGTTAGAATAAATCCAATGTTATAATTGGTTTTCATCGTCTGGTAGAACAATTGAAGCGACTTTATAGATATTAATATCAGTCTTTGAAATGACAGCAGATTTGGTTTACCGATGCATCGCATCGAACGAATCATCTTATACATTTCCTCCAATTTCCTCAACTGTTCATTCGATTGAGTATAGGCCGTCGATTGCGTGCCGAGATTGGAATTCATTATGTCGTACCAAGCGACGACAATTTCAATCAGATTGGCCAGCGCAGTCGATTCTTCAGTTTCGTAACGCCTTAGCACCTTTGCGGTCGTAAGTGAGAATAATTGCGTGGCGAAATGTAAGCTTAACTGTTCAGAGTCGCTCTTTACACGCAAATAATCTTTTGTCCACTTCGACAAGTCGTTCGTTACCAGTAAATTTTCAAGAGGAATTTTACCAACAAGTTCGCCTCTCGGCAGCAGGAAACCTGCAAAATAGTAGATATATTTAGTTGTAAGGATGGTAAGTGAAGTGTAACTAGGTAAAGGACAAGTTTTGCCCAATACCTATAAGAGAGCATGCCACCAGGTCTTGCTTACAGTATTTTTTGCATGATCGAGTACAAAATTGTCAGAAACAAACGGTAAATAGCTGCTTTCTTGAAGCCTATGTGCTGAGATGTTAAAGTTAACGCTGCATTTGCATTTGATAAAGTAAAAAAAAATGTGGAGCAATTCTTCATGTAACTAAGATTCTGCACAATGTGCAAACTTATGAAAAAAAAAAAGAAATTAGAATTCCTATCCTGCTCTCAATCGATGCAAAGTAATAAAGAAAAATATATATTCACTCTGAAGGTGATGTTATTAGACTTAAAAATTCTCACAAATTACAGTTTTTTATGCAGATTGAGAGCAGGCGCGGATTTAAAGGGGGGGCGCAGGGGGCGTCTGATGTTATTTGAGCAGATACAAAAAAAAACACTTTCTCATTGTCACTTATTGAGTTTTACAAGAGACATTGAGACGTTTCATTTCGGAGAAATCATTATCAACTTTATTTTTTTATATGCCCCATAAAAAAGCAGATACTATATTGAGTAGCATTTTTTCCTACGAATAAAATGATGTACGGCACACAAAAGAAAACAAAAGTTGGAAACTGTTGGTTTCAGCAAGATGGTGTACCTGCGCACAATGCCCTAATCGTATAAAAATACCTATATTGGACAAATTTGCGCCGATAAAAAGAAAACTCGCAACTTTGCCATTTAGCCTTTTTCTGGTTTGATCTTTTCTTAGTTTATAAAGATTTAGTTATTTGTTCAATATATTATGTATTATGCCAAAAATGTTCTATTTTTAAACGTATAATAAATGTTTTTTTTTAATATATTCACTTTAAAAATTGTATGGGCCCCTCCCTAGACCAAATCCTAAATCCGACATGGATTGAGAGCAACCTGTGTAACACGTGACCGCATGCCGTTTGGTTTTGATTTTGTTACACATAGGAAAATGTACACATATACCGCTTTATAGCGAACATTAACAAAAGTATGTCGGGCGATACCAAGTAATAACAAGAACTGTATTGGCGAAATCGAGCGCGGTTTAAAAGGTACGCTGCTAGTCGCGGTCTTTGCGTTCAGAAAATAGGTGTCGTTTCAGAACTTCTAACGGGCGAGACTCAAATATCGAGAGAAGTGGAAGAGCGGGCATTCTAAGCCAATTTTCGCGAGCGATCGCGAGTTATGTTGAAATTGAATTCTTAGTGAAGTGTAAGTCCGTACCAAATTGCGGAGCAACGAAGTATAAATATCGACGTGTAAAAAAATTTATTCGTGGTCGACATTTTTTTCTGCGTTATGAGAAATATCTTCGTGTATGTGTGAAGATTCATGGTGCAATTTCAAGAGCCAGAACGTGCATTTATGAAGTGAAATCTATCCTAATTGTAGTAAAGAATTAGCAGCTTAACTTGGGGTAAAAACATATTAGGTAGCAAGAACTAAATTTCGAGTACGTCGGGGAAAAACATTTAAACAAAACCTGCAATTTTATGTGTGCGAATAAACGAAGAATAAATTTTTTAGCAATCTGATTCGTACCACGGCCTTTTCATTTAGGGGTGGGTAAAATATACGCGAAGGAACAGTTTCAAATCGAGGAACCACTTTTCAATTAAAAAACGGGATTAAATAAGCTGACAAACTCATAGTGATAAACAAAGCAGTTTTTTTCGGATCGCTAACCGTAACGTCTGGTTAAAAGCAATTCCTTAAAATTGAGTGACGTCTTTGGACAGCGCTGTGTGCGATCTCTGTCCGACGTGCTCTAATCCTTCACTCCACAGTGGTAGGTTTCCGACAGCCCAATCCCTTGTGTTTTTGCTTTCCAACAGTATGATACTGTTCGTGCTCCTTTGTTAGCGCGCATTGCCCCTTGCTCCGCTTACCCCAGTCCATCCTAGTTCGAATACCAGACGTTAATGCTCTATGTGTGATGTTTACGTCTTAAATGTCATTTGAGAAACCAGAGCCAACACTCTTTTTGCAAATTAAAGTAACTTTAAGGACGTAATATGTAATGTAGATGCGTGTTCCGTCCGTTCATCTGTAGGTTTAGGACCTCACCAACGAGAACTCTTAAAAATATCATGCCGAATTTTTCTCCTCTGTACCACAAATTCTTTTCTCATTATCTTCCTATGCATTGCCTACATTTCAGTTCTTTGCAACTGCAGAACTTTGAAATTAAGTTTCAAGGATAACAAGCAAACATCGTCAATATGGGACACGTAGTAGGTATTTATGTTTACGGTTATGTAACTGATTAGAATAATCTCCTATTACAATAATAACGACAAAACACTTGAGGCAAAACTAGTTATCTGTACTTTTATCATTTGTTTTCCACTTCAGCACAATTGAACGCAGTTGGTCTGTTACAGTGACTCTAAAGCATTGAACTAAATACTTGTAACTGAAATGGCATCGCCCGTAAACTAATGTTGCAAGTGTGCCATGACGAGAGAGATGGGTACAGGTAGGTAGGTAGGTATCGTGTTTCTCTCACATGGCGTGAGGATACCTACCACAGCCTACGTTAGGCAGCACGCGATTTAACAATGAGCCCAGTTTCAGAGTATACAGTTCAATGCTCTGTAGTCTATAGAGACAGTGTGGTCATACTGTGGTGTTATTTTCTATTGATAGTTGGGAGATCCGCCATGTTTTCGCCAAATAGGTACACCTAATGGGTAAAAATTAACCTGAAAACCCAGGTGATGAATTTATCTTGCTGGACACAATCGTGACCATAGCAAAATCTTCTAATACAGTTAAACCAATCAGCTCAATTATAAAATGGAAAAAAAAACATGGCCGACCTGGAGCATTACACTGTCTTTATCTCAGAGTTTTTATTTTTACCATTAAGAAACCACGAAAAGTAAATGGGAAAAGTGCAGTGAAGCATATGGTAACACAAGTAAATTTTGGGGTTAGGAAAAATGCTTCTGCTATAAAACTATCCCCATTATCCCCATCCTACGAATTGTGAGGCCGTGATTCTATCATTGGTGAATCCAGAAGTTAAGGCGATTGTAAGCCTTCCACATACTTAATTCCAGAGATGCACACACACACACACACACACCACCAAAGAACAAATGAATAGCAGGTTATGTGCCTCTGCGACTTTGGGTTTCGTTTAATGGACATTTTCAGAAATCAAATTTGATTTTCAAGTCCCAAATTTTATTTTGTCGGTAATTTTCTAAAGAGAGAGAATGTTTAGGTAAACCCGTGAAGACAACATCGTTTACCAGAAAAAAGAATCCGATTAGAGTGGAAGCAGTTTTTCCTCTCAATTTGGAACAATAAAGTCAAGTGCATTACCTTGAAATTGATATTTTCATTTGTTTTTTAATATTGTACACGTTTTGAAGTGTGTTTTGTTACTACGAGAAGAGCTGACTGATAAAAAGATTAGATTCGGCGAAACATGATATCGTTTTAGATGTAGAAAATACTGACTAAGATATGTAATAAGAGGAACTACGATTTACTGCAACTCAAAGAGTATAAAGTATAAACTCATTGGGTTTGCTTTACGCCGGCTACAGGCTATGCATGAATTCGCGATTGGTGAAGCGCACGATTCGCGGGTAGTTCAGGGAATCAATTCGTAAGCAGCATGATGCACAGTAATTTGGTCCTCAGAGCGGTAAATTAACGGATAATAAAGGCTGCGCATTAACGCCAACCGTCAATTGGCCAAAGTTTGGGCTGTGTTCATAGTTAGTTCGTTTATTCGCTGAAATACTATACAGTGATATTCATGTAGAAGTAGACATAGGGATTTCCTATGTCTACTTTCAAACGACAAAAAGTCTTCTGCAGGACGCCTAATTTTATGCAACCGAAATAACTTCTTGAAACAAATAAAGATTTGGCTGTCATATTAATTATTATTTTGAATATTGTTGCTTTACCTTCTCAGAAAATAAATCTCTTAAGCTCCTTTAACTGTTATCGGCACTACTATACCAATTGGAAATATCAACTTTTTCTTTAGTTGAATACATCGCACACAAACCGAAATTAGAATAGGGAAGTCAAAGCGATAATATTCAAATTAATTAATATGACAGCCAGATCCACATTTGTTGTAGGTACTTAGTTACTTTGGTTGTATAAAATTAGTCGTCTTTCAGGAGACTTTGGCTCGTATGAATAAAAATAAGCAAATGCTTATACTTGCAAAATTCAAAGTAAATACTCGTAAGTGCCCCTTTATACTGGTTTGTTTAGCAGCGCTGCACTGCGTCCTGTCCATCTGCTTAGCAGCGCTGTTAAGTCGCCCAGTGTGAAGGAGCACTTACGAGTATTTACTTTGAATTTTGCAAGTATAATAGTGCAGCGGAGAGCCGCGAAATCGTTCAAAAAATTTTTTCGGAGTAGAAAGAATTGGGGCCCACATCATTTTGTTCAGAAATGTTTGAACCTTCAGAATCTCGCTTTACGACATTTTCCCGTGGTCCTGACAAAAGTTATAGGCCGCTAAAGTTGAAATTTACTCATTTTCGCGCGTGCGACTAGACCACCGAAAGTATTTATTTTCTCAGCAACTAAGCGATATACATCAATCATTCCTTTTGTAAAATGAAAGTACATTTATAGCAGAATCTAAAGCATTCAATTTACCTACCTTGTTATGGACAGTTTTTAGAAAAATGACCGTCAACTTCCAAAATTGGTGTAGCAGATGAAAAGTGCGCACTTTGAACTCTCATAACTTTTTATTTCACGATATCGATTTCCAATATTTATAGCTCATTCGATGCTCCAAAGCATTGTGATTATTTTATTTTCTATAACATTACCGTGAATTTTTCATAATAAAAAAGTTACGGTCATTTAAGTAAAAACCTACCGATCACGCCGAGTCGGTAATCGCGAGTGAGACGGAGAGGGAAGGATAGTCAGCAGCGTTCGCTAAACAAGGAGCGATGCGTAATTTACTAAGAAATTTCTCTCCGAATACCAAAACTAGCTATTTAGGCCGTTTAGTTTACAAATGCATTCCGCCGAGTTGCATTGTAAAATCTCAAACAATTCATTAACTCCATGTATCTCAGTTCTTTTGTGAAATATATAGGTACAAATAGGTACCTTTCCCTGTAAATTTTGGGGGTTACTCCACATTAGGTATCTCTTGTGCTGTGCTGTATATTGCAAGATCAGCAGTGACAGCGGTATGATTTTGTCCCAAAGATTCAGGCTTGTTTTTTGATTTCACTAGACGATGGTTAGGATGGTATTGTAGCTCGTTGGTGGAGAATTCAAAAACGGCATACATATATTGAATGGTAGATACCGGAACTTACTTAGGATTATCAGCATGTACTTAGGTTGTTAAAGTCAGTTATCTGGTCGTTATCTAGTGATAGGTAAACGAGGAATTTGGATTTCTTCTGTCGATGTATCTCGAATTTAAACTTAACTTAAATAATTTAAATATGTA